AGGAAGATCCTCTTGGTTAAAGCAACACGTTGCTCACGTGGCCAAATGTGAACTTTCTCCTGGAAGAAGACCTTTCTGCTTCTCCCCCTTGGATGATGTTGAGTATCTTGTTTTTATTGCTCCTTTTCACACTGGTTGGACAAACAGTGGGCTCAGAGCCAGGACCGGCATTCCCACATGGCCGCTCCAGCCGCTCATCAGTCCTTCAAGTTGCAGATAATTAGTCCAGCACTCTGCTTACATCCATATGTCAGAAAGCTGCTCGTTAGCATGGAAGCCCATTGCACCTGCCTGCCCATCCTCATATGCAGGAGATGGTGCCAGCACGGTGGTAGGAGGGGGATGCTTGTGCACTGTTGCTCTCCCCAGCTCCAGGCGTGAAGGGATACTGTCCCATATTTGCCTTTTTTCTTTTCTTTCTTCGTTAAAATAAGCCACTTCCAGCAACTGCCATTTCAAGGGGATCCCACTGCTTCCTGTCCATCCTTCCCTCCCCTTCTTGGCTCCCCCAAGAAGGCTGTGGACTGTCAGCCCTCACGTCCAACGCACACTGCTTGTTGGGGGAAAGCCTGAATCGGGTTTGATTTGCCACAAACCCAGGTGCCTGCTCAGCTTTCATTTTCTCTCCTTGTATTGGAGGGGGAGGGAGAATCCCCCATGCTGCGCGCCAAGCAGAGGCACTAATCATATGCAAATTGCACCCCTCTGTTGGCACTAATAGTTTAATCAAGGGAGATTTAAATAATACGCACCAAAGGAACAGGCTGGAGACGGCTCTGCCTTTTTTGAGAGCACAGAATGTGATGGATCAGGGGCTGAGGCTTGGATCAGCATGACGAGAGCAGGCAGCCCCGTCCCAGGTCCCTGTCCCCATCCTGGGATGGGGTGCACATACACGTGGTGGCAATGGATGCCTGCAGAGTCCAGGCTCAACCTTCCCAGGCAGGCTGATGTTCAGTTCCCAAGGAGGTGGCTCTAAAATTGTCATCACTTGTCTGGAGCGTATCCAGCCGATGCTGCCAGGTAAGGATGCTCGCAGCTGCTGTGCTGCAGAGCCCTCGGGCTTTTCAGATGATCCCCAGCATCACCTCCCATTTCACTTCGCTTCTGAAATATGCAGTGAGAAGCAGTGGATGAGCTCTGCTCCCTCCTTGTCTCCCGCGTGCTTTTAGCGCTTTTCTGTCACTGATTTCAGAGAACAGGAACAAAAGTAGAGAGGCCTTTCTTGTTTCATTCTTTTTGACCGTGCTCAGAGGCCAGTTCTGCACCAGTTTACTCACAGATGAAGAAGCTTGGCAGGAAGGGTGGAATGAGCTGGATTTTTGCCTGTTCTCAGCCGCTTTGAGACTCTGCTCCTTCTCCCTTACAGGTGCACGGTCAGTCCTGGCCAGCAGCGTGTGAGCACACAGCTCCTCTCTTAAACACCAAAAACAGATTGTTGGTGCCAATTCTGGATTCCAGATACTGCCTTCTTGTATAAGTCTTCCCCTGGAACACTTTTTTTCCCCCCAGCTCCACGTGTTTGCCCTGCTTCAGTGCCATGCTTCCTGGGATGTGCCCCGGGCCCTGCAGTACTCAGGGCAGCAGCAGGTCCTGCTGCTGCAGCACAGCGGTGCCAGAAACCCACCCTCGTTTGCACTCGGAATTTATTTGAGGGAAGAGAGCACTTAGGGGAGATTTCAAGAGACGAGATGTGGGCTGGAGGAAAAACAAGAAAATGGGCTTCGGGCTGCATGTCTCCTCCTGCTTTTCTAGGACGTCAGCACTGGTGGTTTTCAGAGGAAATGGAAAGAATGAGGAGAGGAACAAAAGGCTTTAATGCTCCTAAGTGCTTGTTTTTCATCATTTCTCCACCACGCTCAAGATGTGTAATGCACCAAAATGGAACCATTGCTTTCCCCTGAGGGAGAGGAGATGAAGGCGCTGGTCTTGCTGGGGTGCTGTGTTGTGTCCGTCCATCTGTCCCCATGCCCTGTCCTTCAGCTCTGTGTGCTGACGTCTGCTAGCAGCGAGCCTAGAGTTGACATGTCCCTTGCAGCAGCTCTGACCCTCTCTTCCCTTCCCTGCAGCAATACTTCATCCTCCTCATCATCACGGATGGAGTCATCAGTGACATGGATGAGACGCGCCATGCCGTGGTGCAGGCGTCCAAGCTGCCCATGTCCATCATCATCGTGGGGGTGGGCAACGCTGACTTTGCTGCCATGGAGTTCCTGGATGGGGACAGCCGGGTGCTGCGCTCCCACACTGGCGAGGAGGCCGTGCGTGACATCGTCCAGTTTGTGCCCTTCCGGGATTTCCGCAATGTGAGTCTGTGACACCCGGCAGTGGGGCCTGGGGGCTGTGGTGCCGTCCCCAGGAGAAGAGGTGGCTCCGGGGAGACCTTGCTGTGGCCTTCCAGTATCTAAAGGGATCCCAGGATGGATGGGGAGGGATTCTTTGTCAGGGGATGTAGTGATAGGACAAGGGGGAATGGCTTTAAACTAACGGGAGGTTTAGGTTAGATGTTAGGAAGAAATCATTTGCTGTGAGGGCTGTGAGGCCCTGGCACAGTTGCCCAGAGCTGTGGGTGCCCCATTGGTGGATGTGCCCCAGCCCACGGGTGGGATTTTGGGGAAACCTGGAGAATGGGAGGTGTCCCTGCCCGCGGCCTGGACACAACATCTCATGGGAAGGAGGTGATCTGTGAGGTCTCGAACCATTCTGATTCTGTGTTTCTGTGATCTGACCCGCAGCATTCCATTTGTGGTTCTCATCTTAAAAGAGGGGCAACCCCAGCAAATGCCAAAACGTTTGGGAGCCGCTTAAAAGAGAGAGCACTCATCATGCTCCCATCAGCTCTACCCTCTCCCACACCACCTGCCTCGCTCTGCCCTGCGAGGGACCTGTCCCCAAGGCAGTGACATACAGTATAACCACAGGTGAATCCGGTCCTGTGCTACTGCTGCTTTTTCTTTTTGCCTGCAGGCCCCCAAGGAGACACTGGCCAAAGCTGTGCTGGCAGAGCTGCCCCAGCAAGTCGTGCAGTACTTCAAGCACCAAAACCTGCCCCCCATCAACTCGGAGCCCGCGTAGCGCCGTGCCCGGCCCCAGCTGCATGTTCCCGAAGTCTGTTGGTCCCACTGAAAGCGCATGTTCCACATGCTGTTCAATGAAGAATACCCTCCCTGAAACACCCAGGTTTGTACTTCTTAATTTAATTGTTAAGTTCTTAAAGCTCATCCTGGAGAAGCGCCTGGATCCACTTTGTACAGCCGCCGCCTGAGGTAACACCCAGAGGCCAGGCCGAGCCCCAGTCCCACTCCGTTGAGTCACTTTTCAGTATTGAATGTACTTTGTATAATTTTAGTGGAACAGGATACAATTTTTACAAACAAAACTTGCTTTTTCCAAGCAATGAAATGCTTAATATATTATTGTTATTACCATTTGTTGAACTGGTCGTGTATCTGTGCCGTATCCGTACCGCTGTCATGCTCTGTGTTCATTTTTATACTGTGTACATGTTATATTTGTTATACTCAGGTTAATAAAGAAACTTGGACATTTAAAACAAGGGGCTGCTGTCTGGTCTGGGCTGGGAGCACTGTGTGAGGGCTGGGTGCTTGGGGCAGCCCAGTGCTCCTCACCACTCCACCTATACCATGCCTGGAGCGCATGGGCACAGTGCAAGGCCTATGCCAGCCTCAACCCTGGAAGGTGGGGCCAGGTTGGGGGAAATGTTTGCTTTGCAAAGCCCTCTGGAAGGGAAAAATACCTGACCCCCCCCTCCTTTTCCAAATAGGAAAGCAGTCTCTGAATGGTGGCTTGTTTAGAACTAATGCTGTATGCAGCTCCACTGGCAGGCAGGCAGGCAGTGTGCTGCTCAGCTTTCAGATCAAAGGCTGGGGCTCTGGAAAAGTTTTCTTTCCATCATGAAACCTCACGCAGAGAGAAGAAAATCTGAAATATTTCAATTCCACTATGAAATGATGGTGCTGCTGGAATCCTTTCCCAACCCCAGGGCTGTGTTCCTGCCCCAGCGGTTTCCAGTTGGGCTGATCTGCCCTCTGGCCCTTCATACAGTATTGCAGAGCGCAGTTAATACCTTTAACATCAAATCTCTTTGTAAGGCAGTAAATGGGACTGGTAGCCAGGCTGCACAGCAGCCCGCTTACATAGGGCAGCTGCAAGAGCAGCTTGCTGGAAGGGACTCAGGCTCAAGGGCTGCTGTGAGTTAACAGAGCTCCCCAGCTGCCCTGATCTTGCTCTTCAAGAAACAAAGACACTGGGGCTCTCCCACAGCAGAATTGTCTCCCTCTTGACTGTGCGAGGTCCAGCACAACCACCTGCAGCTCCTCTGCACCACTGTGTCTGCCCACAGCTTCCAAACCCCACTCTGCGTTTCCATTTGAATCTAACAGATGCTTGGAGGGCAGCTATGCAAAATACCGTTCAGGAAAGCACTCATGGCTGGGCTGTGCTGCTCTGGCTTTCCAGAGACATCGTGGATTGAGTTTCACGCCAGGCACAGACACCTCTCCACTGCAGCTATGCAAGGCTCCTGCACGTGCAACTCTGAAGTAAGGCAGGTTTAAATGAAGGCACTGGGAGATCTAGGTATCTTCCATCAGCAGAGAAGCTACAAAAGGCAGGAGCAGCTCGGGAGCAAAAACCAGAGCGCCAGGTAGCACTTGGGGCAGCGTAAGGTCTCTTAAATTCAACAGAGCTTCGACAGCCATTTGTTCTCCTACTGCAAAAGGCAGTGGAGTTCTCCAGTCTGTGCACAGCTTGGTTTGAGTGAGCCAGGATATCCCACCCCCTCGGTACTCACACTGCACCACGAGAATGAGCTGTGAGCAGAATCACCACCAGCAGTTCCTCTGCACTCATTCAGAAGGAGGGCACTGCCTCAGCCCCGTCTCGATGGTGGGTTGAGGACAGGGCTGCATAAGCAGAACCCACATTGCTTAATGGAACAGGAACAATTATGAATGGCACAAGCCAAGATGGAAAAAAAATGCATTCAGAATGTCTTTAATCGCGTAACACTAAAACTTCTTTACAGTGTCATGGCAATCTACACTTCACCATCTGCTCGATTTTTGTTCTGCCCCCATTTCTCAAATACAGAATAAAAATGACATTTTAAAACAGAACACATGGCTGCTCCTACAAGACTTCCGTGCTTCAAGTGCATTTTTGGTTTTTGTTTTTTTTTTGCCTGTTGGTCTTGTATAAACTCCACAGATCACCAGAATTCATTCTTTCTTCCCATGAGAGTCATAAAAAGGCGCTCTCCTCTCTACCCCCCAGCCCTCATCTACAGGACGAGGTGTGCCCTCTGCTTTGGGGTGGCAGCCTTCCCACCTCAAGCTCAGCAAGAATCCCAGAAATGGAAAAAAAAAAAAATAGGGGAAAAAAAAATAAAAATGAATTATTTTCGAAGCATCTGAATGTATTAAAGTTGAGAGGTTAGCTAGAAATATTATATTTGGGACAGAAGGATGCATCAGACATCCACCAGGGCTTTGGAAGTGAACTCTGCACTACATCACACACGGAGGGATTTTGTTATGGACCATCAAAGAAACTGTTGCTACGAAAAACAGAAGAGACGATCTTCCCAGTGGAATTGATGGTGCCTTCTCCATCCGAGCTGGACTCCGAGTCACTGCTGCCCGAGTAGGCACCGAGGCCGGGCAGGATCCCAATGCAGACCGCAGCCGACGGACAGTGGACCGCAGATCCTCCCACAGAGCTGCTCCCCAGGGGAACACAGGACGGTTTTTCTGCAAGAGAAGGACTTCAGTCAGAAGCCAGAGCGCAGGAAAGGGTTTCTTTCATCAGCCCAGGAGCTGCAGCGTGCCATTCACCTGCTACCAGCACGCCAGTGGTGGGTGACTGCAGGATTTAATCACAGCGCGAGGCGGCGTTACGTGGCACAGCAGCTATTCTGACAGGAAGGACTTGCTACCTCAGGGGATTTTTCTCATCATAGTTAAGCCCAGCTCTGTGCTGGCATTACAGATTTTTATTCTTAAGGTTGTCAGTTTGATGGGTGTCGAATAGCAAACCCACTAAATAAGAATAAATAGTTCTGTTCTATGCAATTAGTTTATTATTTTTTTTAACAATACAACAGCATAGTTGGGGAAAAGTTTCATTCCAGCGCTCTGCTAAGTCAGCATCTCCCATCTACCACAGCTAATTAATTTTTTTCCAGCGTTCTGATAGTTTACTGAACAGAAGGAGATGCAGGAAGCGCCTTGGGTTGTCATTACACAATCACAGCTCACCCTATTTGTGTCAGGAGATCTTGACAACGAGTCAATCGCAATCCTGACAGCTAAGACTGAAACGCAGCTTAGTTTTTCTTCTGGCTGCTCACAATTTTCTGAAATAAGCTGGTTTCAGGATGGACAAGATCACTTTGTAGCATGAGAAGCGAGCACAAATACACCTGGTGGAAGGGAATGAGCTGTTCGCCGTGCCTCTGGCTGACAGAAGCAGCACTGGGCATGAAACGCAGCTAAGGAGACTCCCATTATTTATCAGGGAAAGCTAACAGCTAAGCATTACAATCAGCTGCCTCAGGAAGGAGCACGGTCTCTATCTGCAGAGATTTAAGGGCAGCTTAGACAATCATCTGTCAGGAATGGTGTAGGTGAGGGGCAGACTGATGACCAGAGCAGGTTCCTTCTGCTACAGCTGTCAATGCCCACAGTCACCACAGCACTGGGAGATAACACAGCAACCTGTGCTGCCGGTCACGATGAAGGAGCAGGAAAGCAAATCCTCCATCAGATCCTACACTCACTAAGTCAGTTGCTGTTTGGGTGAGAGGCAGACAGCTTCCAGGCAGCAGAAATCAGGACATACCTTGGTTCTTTTCTTCGTGGTCAGTATCGAGTTTCAACCTCTTCACACTGTTACCACCATCTGAACTGTGTGGGGAAAAAAAAACCAAAAGGAATCATCTTGTTCCTCATAAACCACCACTTCATTACTGTGAAGTTCAGAGTGACTTTTTTTGCCTCAAATGCTACAGCTGTTCCAGCAGGGAGTGATCCAGAGCTCGCTCTGGGACTCCTGCTCAGCTGGAATACCCCCGAGACCAGCAATGAGTGTGTGAGTTTTGGTTTCCTGCCTGACAAACTTGAACAGCCACCACGCTGCAGGTCCAACATCAGTGTTCTTCCCCTTCCAGGATCTTTTTCCCCTTCTCGTGGCAGAACATGAGGGACAGATGAAAGGTGATTCTGAGCAAGGAGGTTTTAATAGTGCAAGTCCTTTGCAGGACATCTGCTCTGAAAGCAGACGTCGAACCCCTGCTGTGTTTGGTTCTGGATAGTGTGCAACAGGAAATAAGACAGCAAGAACTGAGGACTGCTGGTGATGGCACCAACATGTCAGATAAGCTCTCTTCAAACAGATGCCATCTGCAGAGTTCAGATGTGCCACTAAGCACACACCAGCTCCTTCCCTGCTCCCCACTGGGTTGTGTACCAGTGGTGCCAACACAAGACATTGCTGGCTGCTTGTTAGGGTTTTTTCTTCTCTCCCCTTAAATACTCAGTACCCCACATACAAGGTGTTGGAAGAGCTCACTCCAGTTTGCACAGACAGCAATTACTACTGCACTGGGAGCCAAACATCACCCTGCAAGATAAGCTTCTGAAATAGTAATCTCTCATTATATGGGAACTGTTGAGTCACAGCCTGAACCACTGATGGAGCACCTGGGGAAAGAACCCAGTCAGCCCTGGGAGCACAGGTGAAGGCAGCTCAGCTGTGTGATAGGAAGGGGTGGAGCCTGGCTGCACCTCTCTTAGACCTCATTTAAGGGCTGGCTGCCACTGGGGAAGGATTTTTGCTGCAGATTCTTCCTCTATGAAGTTTTTCCTGCAAGCCTGGATCTTCAGATGCAGGTGAGCGCTTCTTTTGTAACGTCCTCTGTTGTGCTGGTCCTTCTGCTCATGCACTTAAAACTACTGCCTGAATTTCCAGATGTTAGGAATTGCCCTAAGCATTCCATCATTTGTCTGCAGGGATTCAGCCTGGGCCCAGGTGCTTGGTTGATCTATAACCTGGAGCACACCAGCAGTCTGTGCTTCCAAGCTGAGATCAAAACAGGCAGCAGATCACAAACTCAGCTGTCACCCGTGTAGGACAGGAAAGGTGCTGATGTACCAGTGCCAATTGGTGAGAAACACAGAGGCTTCCTGATGCCCTCAGGATCAGATTAGTACACAAAATTCTTCTCTCTTAATAACCTCCCCAAACTGCCTCCAGCAACTACTTAAAATGATTCATTTTAAACACAGATCTCATAGGTTGTTAGGAAAATCTGCATCAAATTACAGAACTGAGGTGGATGCTGATATTTTCAGAGCTGAAAAAAGAGAGAAACTCTGGAGCCCACAGCAGGGTTGCCCAAGCCTGGCAGCCTAGAATGAAGAGCCTACCCACTTGCTTTACACATGCTTATCTATTTGAGTTGCCTCATGTTTCTCCAACAGTTGGTGAGAGCCCATAGAAACAAGGCTGGTCTTTTCCTGTACCTCCCCCCTTTTTTTTCTTCAGGGCTAAGGTTTGCACCTCATTCTCTGGAGGCAGTTTTGGCCTGCTTCCCTTTATGCTGTTAACCAGGTTCTGTTCCTCATGCATTTATAGAAGTGTGAAACTAACCTTCTGTGTTTCACAGCTCCTGCCAACAGCTTTGCCTGAGAGAATTTGTTCTTGTTTTCCACTGACTTCATGGGCAATTTCTTCTCAGTTTCCTTCTTTGGGTCCATACCCACTCCCACTTTAGTGAGAGTGCTGTGAATTAAGGGTTAAGGATCAATGAGGCAGGAGAGGAGAGGACAGGCTCTTCCTCCCTGACATACTCAGCTCTGACAGCAGCAACTGAAGCTCATTCACATTATGTGAATAAGTTTCCACTAAAGGAAACTTATTTGTGATGACACCTATGTGGCACCTTCAGCCAGGACAGAAAAGGCCTCTTTGTGAGGTACCAGTAAAGGTATAAAGGCTTCCGCAAACCTTGATGTTGCATGTGGCAAAGGAGAGTTCTCCAAATTCAAAAGGAGATCAGCTTATAACCTGCAATCTGCCTTTCTACAAATTCCTTCTCTGCCATTTCCAATGATCACTCAGTGTAACCATGAGCCCTGAGTTTCAGGAGTGTCCCAGCTACTGCATACAAATATCCAACAGTGAATTTCATGTTCCTATTTAAGGTCACAGTTTCCATCCCAGCACCCTGTGGAGTGACCCAAAGTCTCCGATCCCCTTCATGTCAGGACGTTCAGAAGCCCTTGCTAACTGGATTTTCCCAAGGATGCAGCAACAGCCCTGACTGCTCCCTGCCTCAACTCAACCTCCAACCACCGCCGTTGCTGTGCTTCTAAGATGGCACAGCAGTGCCATCCTGTGGCTAACGGGAGCAATCCCGAAGCTCACCCTGCCAACAACGGTTTGATGTTGCACCATCCTACAACAGCAACGCCTTCTCCATGGGATTTCTGCATTCACACAGCGCTGAAGACAAAAGGATGCTGCTTTCAAGCATTTCTTGGAACTGGCTTAAGAAAAAAATCATTAAATCTAGTTAGTCCAATGCTGAAGAGGCAGGGTAAGAAGCCAAAAAACCCAGCTATTCGTGTAAGAGGAAATAAAGCTCCTATGCATCCATGCATATGAATTTCTCACTCTTGAGGTGCATTCAAATATTCCAGCACATTTATCTTCAGTTTGTATAGTGTCATGATTTCTTTTAACCACAGGGAAAAGAAGGAAAACAAAGAAAGAAACAAGCTCTGTACTTCTATATTGATGCAGGCTTTCACCACGGAACAACATCCCTTAAACTGGATGTTTTACCACGACTGGTTGACAGTCGTCTTTCTAGCCTGGAGGAACTCCTGCACAGTGCCTACAGACCACCCAGCTCATCCAGCCAAGACCACTTGGAAAGAATGCCTCCAAAAATGGTTAAATCTGCAGGTCATTTAGCAAGTTGCTGCAAGGTTCCTTGCGACGTTACCCAGTATGTTAGCAGCAAGTCCTACAGCTAATTTACATCAGGACTTCAGATACAAAACTGGCTGATTCTAAGACCAAGACTCGATGTGGACACCTGGAACAGATCCTGCTGGGTAAATTGAGGGATCTGTGCATTATGTGGCTAATCCAAGACAATACAAGGTTCATTCTGAGCTGGTATGGTTCACCCCTGCACGTATGTGACCTCACCAGGGTTGTCAGCTGCTTGCACAGCACGATGCTACACATCCCTGCATCAGCCAGACCTGCGAGCAGCCAGCACAGAACCTAAATATATCCCATAATTAGATCCAACAAATCAAGGAAATATTCCAGATCCATCAGCCAACTTCAGCTCAGTTCTGACGTAAAGTTATTAGAAAATGCATCAGTGCTGCCTCTTCATAAATGAATTAGTCAGAGAACTTGGATGCTCTTCACAAGAGATCTAGATGCTCTGAGTTATAAATCCTTAACTAACACAAGGTAATGCAGCTCTTTGTAGCATTTGCTGAGTATTTTTGGTCATCACCTCATAAATATGAGCTGCTTGCTCCTTTTTCTGCTTTCAGACTCTTTCATTTATAGTAAAGCATCCTTGAGAACTTGCACTCTGTTCACTTATTACTGTAAGCAGTGGCTTTCATTAGGAGGCAAAGCAACTATTGCTTTCTGCACAAGTGAGGTAACCCTCACATGACATTCAGTTCAGAACAGACAGCAATCCTAAAATCTCTCCACATCTCCCCTTTCTGATGCAGATTAAAGACAAAAAGCATCCTATGCTGCCCTGCAGTACAGCTTTGTGAAGGGCTGGTGGCCTGGATCAAATGTTCTAGTAGGAGATCCAAGCTACAATAACAGTAAAAGAACCATCACATGTGTTCTTAAAGCAGTATTAGAACAAGGATGTGAATAACAGACTAAAACTACAGACCAGACTCCAAGCCTCCAGTGTAAGAACACCAGCCCTATAAGCAAAGGATATTCTGTATTCATTGAGTTCTTTCATCTCCTCTTCTCTTCGCTGCTTTTCTAGCAGCTCTTGCTGCCGAGAAACCTCGTCAAGGAAGTTTGTCTCGTCTTCATCTAAGCCTCTTACCATATTTTCTGGAAAAAAGAATAATGCACAGAGATAAGCTCAGGATTTGGGGAGCAGCCGTGAGCTTCCAGCACCTCGCCCTTCTCTTCAGGTGATTTTAACTGCTGATTTCCAGCTGCCTCATGAAATGCAGGGAGCCATCCACATCCTGCAGGTGATGACCCTGAATGCTGCTGGGGTAGAATATTTTGCACAGTGTCACTGGGAAGGCAGTGAGTGGAGTCCTGGGTGACCAGCTCTTATCTTCCAGCAGTTACAGCATCTTGTCAAGTAACAGGAACAAAGCAAAGCCCTCAGAGGACAAACTATCTGCTTTGTTCTGTAATTAAGGAGTAGAAATATTTTCTGGTTAATGACACTGGATGCAAAACAAGCCCGAACTCTTAAATGCTTGAGCACAAAACCTACACCAGACTAACAGCTCAAGCACAGTTAGCACAGAGGTGAGCAAGGCTTGTAAGCCTGTGTGAGTTCAGTGGGAAGGTCTCCTTTCTGTTCTACAAGTGGTCAGCATCTCTCCATCCAAGTTACTGATTTAAAAAGGTCTTCAAAAGTACTTGTCAGACAAACCAAGTTTGCAGCGTCAGCCTGAGAAATCTGAACCCAAACACCACCTTTAGTCATTAGTTTAATTCCACAAGAGGATTTTTAGGTCTTTACATGAGGCAGACGTTGTTTTTTAATCTTCACCTCATAGTCAAGTCCCATTCGGTCTAATGGCAAGCTCAGCAATCCATTTATGCTGATGATAGGCAGCCTGCCATCCCCAAGTTCTGTTCCATGGCCAACATGAGAAATTCTAGACAGAATCCCACTATGCAAGTGCAGCTTGAAGAATGCAAGAGTTCCAGGGTAGGACTTCCAGCTAAAGAACCAAAATCAGCAAGAAGCTGCCTTAACATGGAGTCCCACAGCATCACCCTCACTTCTCTTTAAATAGAGCCAGTAGGTCCCATTTTGACTGTTAATTTCTACAAGTGATACAAAGCAAAGGATTCTTCTATAAAACCAGGAGTTGTAACATTGGTAGAAACCAGGTTTTCACTTCATTAATATCTACTTTTTGAAGGCTCAGCTCCTCCACGTTCACTTCACCCAAGTGCTGATCTTCAGCCTCAAACTGCTCTGTGAAGTTTGAGTCCCCTAATTATGGTTAGGGAATTGCAATGCATGTGCAGCACTGCCTTGATGCAGATAATTGCCATCTGCAGGATTCTCTACACCCTTTGAATACCCTTCTCAGCTCCCTGCTTCTCTCTCAGACAGGTCAGACCTGCAGGTACCACACAGCTGCTGCAGTTTGCTGAGTTCTGTTGGAAGTAACAGAGGTTGGTGCTTACTGAATTTAAATTGCTCCTCAAACTCCTGCTGCTTCTTTTCTCTCTGCTCCTGAAGCCTTTCATACAATGAGCGTGGGTCATAAGCCTCCTCTGGGCACTCTGGAAGGAAGGAATAATTAAGGAAATGAGACAATGTTAGAAATATGAAGTCACCAACAGTTTGTACTTTCTTCAAGGGAAAACCTTTTGGAGCTTGCAGAATACAAGCTACTACTTCTTGGTTTGGTTTTCTTTGAAATATCCCTGGATCTCTTTCCTATAGTTACTAAAATCTGTCCCATACCTTCTGGATCTTCAGGTTTTCGGACCTTTTCCCATTCTTCTTGCCTTCTCTTTCGCCGCTCCTCTAGCTCAGCTTCAGAAACAAACCTCTTGTTTATCACGAGGTCAGCAGAGCCATCTCCCCCATCCATGGTGGAACTGACCTAAAAACACAACATGACAGACACGGGGCACCCACTTTCACTTGTCAGTGCATGAGATGTTATTACGTGCTCTGAGAAACACAGAGCCAGGCCTGCTTAGGCTGCACCAGGGGAGCAAGCAGGGGCCGGAGCGCAAGGCGAAGTCGTGTAGAGGTTTGTGGTGTTCAACAGTTGCTGGAAAGAAGGAATTCCCCTGCAGGATGAAAAGGGGCTGTGGTTAAAGGTCTGGAGCAGCCCTATGACTGAAGGCAGCCCCTTCACACAGCACACCCTCTGCTTCCAGCTGGGGATTCCCAAGGAGTGCTCGCATTTCTGCCTCAATCCTAGGCCTGGGGTTGCGATGCTCTGAGGAGCAGCCTAAGAAGGAAACTCGATTTGGGTGGCTGTCACCCCAAAGCACAGCACTGATAAGTTCCCTGTGTGAGCCAGATGGCTCCTGCCAGCTCCACGCTGCAGAATGGTTAATGGTTAATTGGTTAATGCCAACTGTTGGTCCATTTAGGACCACCCCCCCGGCCTGCCTTTCAGCACTGGAAGAGAAGCCTGTTATTCTTGCAGTGAGGGAGGGATGCAGTAACTAATAACAGAAGGAACCGGTCTGTCGTCCTTCCTCCACACAATGAAGCCCTGCTGCAGAAAGCAGAGCCCTGATGTTCTCATAGGATACAGCTTTGGTGGGCTATTGTCTGTAGGACGAAATGACTAATTGAGACCTCAGAAGAAATGCAGGTTAAAGCACCACCATACGAGTATTTGTTAAAAGTATGATGTGTTTTTAAAATGAGTTCAACTCCCAGAAATCACAGAATATCCGCTCTTATGAGTCATTTCCCACAGGGGTTTGAGCTGAAAACCTATAGGGAAAATAAAAATTGTATCTCCCTCCTGGACACAGGTCTGAACAACGAGGCCATTCTTCTTAACCAAGCGCTGCATTACCGAGATGAGCTGTTTCCCCACTTGTGCCAGCTCAATCTGTTCAGAGAGGAAACAAAACATTCTGATACAACGATGGCAACGTCAGAAAAACAAATTGAAGAGGCTGACGAGGCAGGAGCACAGCACTGTCTTAAGACTAAAGTCGCCAACCATCTGCCTGCTGGTTCAGCCAATGCTTTAAACCACTTGGAAGAGATTAGGGTGTAACTGTGACTGGATACTCAGCTTTCTTCTCCAAAAGAGAGGTAAGGCATTGAAACAGCTGCCCAGAGAGGTGGTGGAGTCACTCACTGCCCCAGGAGGCGTGCAAGAAAGGAGAATGTGGCACTGGGTGGGTCTAGAGCAGTTGCAGATGAGAGATGGTTGGACTGGATGATCTGTGGTCATCCCAGCCTAAAGGATTCTGTCATCTTTTCAATACAACCCAGGGAAGCTGATGGAACGTTTCCGAAACAGCAGCATCAAAGACATCCTGGGGCACGAAGCCACGGGGGGATTGCATCGCAGCCCAGCACTACAGTACCTTAAAACCTTGGAATTTGGCTCATCTCGCCTTTGCCTTCCCTGACGTCCAACACACACCCCAGACACAACGGATGTTTTTATACCGTCCTGCGTTCATCTCGCCCGCTGACGGCGCTCCGGCCAGCAGGGGACACGCAGCACCGTAACGACCCCAGCTGCAAACCGCGCTCTCTTCCGTGCTATTGCACGGTCACAAAACCGGGACTAAAACCCCGAACCTCGCGGCCCAGGGCCTCACCTGGGCTGGGCCAGATGCGAGCGCAGACCTCGCCTCGCTGTTGTGAGCAGCGGCCTCTGGAGCAGCCGGTCCCGCAGAGGCTCGGGCCCGCTCCCGGCCCGCGCCACGGAGCCCCGAGTTCACGGCTAACGGGATCGCGGAGGTTCGGCTCGCCCGCCGGGCCCGGCCCGCCCTCGCTCGACGAAGCCCCGGCCGCCCCCTCCGGACGCACCGCGCGGCGGGCCGCTCACACAGAGAGGCGCGGCCCGGCACCGAGCGCCGCCATCGAGCCCCTCCCGCCGGCCCGCTCGTCGCCGCGCCTCGCCCCGCCCCTTCCGCCCGCGCCAGCCAACCGCGTGAGCTCTTCCTGCGGCCGCGCTTCCGCCCGGCCCTCGGCCAATCACCGCTTCTGCATCGGAAGGAAGCGCGGAGCCGGGAGAGGCGACGTCAGGGAGGGAGGGACGAGCGCCGCGCTGCGATTGGACGAGGCGGAGGGGCGGGGGCGGGGCGAGTCGCTAGGGAGACGGCGGGGGGCGGGGCCCGAGGAGGCGGGGCGGGGCCGGGCGGTGCGCGGGGCCTCCATCTTAGCGCACAAAGGAGCGGCGGCGCCTCGGCGGCGGTCGTGCGGCGCGTTCGGTGCGTGCGGGGTCCGGGCGGGCGGGTTGGCGGGGATGGAGGTGAGCTGGGTTGCGCGGAGCCCGGCGGGAGGGCGCGGTGCTCGGTGCCACGCTGCCGGCGGGGCGGTGCTGCGGGCTGAGGCGCGGGACTGGAGCTCGGGGGGCGGCTGAGGAGCGGTGCGAAGCGCTGTGCTGCGGTTCCATTGACAGAGGGACGGAGCTGGGCTTGTTCGGCCTGGAGAAAAGAAGGCTGTGGGGTGACCTCAGTGCAGCCTTCAGTACCTAAAGGGAGCCTACAGACAGGAGGGGAATCAACTGTTTAAAAGGGCAGATAACAGCAGGACAAGGGGAAATGGTTTGAAGTTGAGGGGGGGGAGATTGAGGTTGAGTGTTAGGAAAGGAAGTTCTGCGCTATGAGAGCGGTGAGGTGCTGGAACAGCTGCCCAGAGAGACTGTGGATGCCCCGTCCATCCCTGGAGGTGTTCAAGGCCAGGTTGGATGGGGCCCTGGGCAGCCTGGTGAAGCATTGTGTGGAGGTTGGTGGCCTCCATGCAGCAGGGGGTTGGAGCTTCGTGATCCTCGAGGTCGCTTCCAGCTCGGGCCATTCTGTGATTCTCCCTTTCGCTCACCTCCACTCCCTCGCTGTCGGAGCTGCACTGAGCAGGCTGTGTTCCTCCAGCTGTGTGTGTGTGTGTGTTACACAGCTGGGTTAATGGCAGCATCTCATCATCTGCTCTGCTGATGTTCCTGCTAATCCTGCAGTTCTCAATGCCTGCTTTCCATTGCTCGGATGGGCAGGATGTATTTAGTGCAGGATTTGCAGCTCTTGTAGGTGCTCTTGTTTATTGTTTGCAGGCTCAGTCTGTTATTCACCTGCTCTTTTAGGCTGTTAGTTTCTCTCGTGCAGCTGTCCTGCACGCTGCCCATCTCTTCAGGTACAGTACCAGTGAGTGCTTTGGGTTGCACTGAGTCCCTGCTTTTTGTCAAAGAGTTTTGCTTTCTTTTTGGCTGCCTTTGGCCATACAGAGCGAAGATCTTTGTTTCTTTTTTGCAGCCTTTCAGTACCTAAAGGGAGCCTATAAACAGGAGGGAGTAAACTCTTTACGAGGGTAGATAACAGCAGGACAAGAGGAAATGGTTTGAAGTTGAAGGAGGGGAGATTGAGGTTGAATGTCAGGGGGAAGTTCTGTACTATGAGAGTGGAGAGGTGCTGGAACAGCTGCCCAGAGAGGCTGTGGATGCTCCGTCCATCCCTGGAGGTGTTCAAGGCCAGGTTGGATGGGGCCCTGGGCAGCCTGGTGTAGCATTAAGTGTGGAGGTTGGTGGCCCTGCCTGTGGCAGGGGGGTTGGAGCTTCATGATCCTTGAGGTTCCTACCAACCTGGGCCGTTCAGCACTCTGGCATCCTACCCTCTGCCATCCTAATTCATTGGCTCTTTATCTCAGCATTGTTATGTTCTGCGCTCCTCTGGAAGTTTGCTTTTGCTTTTAGAATGAGTGTAATGTAACTCAGTGATTTAAGCAACCCATTAGTGATGAGCATGGTGAGTTGTCCTGGGGCACCTACCCTTCACACTTCAAGTTTATTGTCACACTGGTATCTCCTATGGCTGATAATGCCTTGTGTTACAGAACATCCCCAAATCTTGTCAAGTTTTGTAGATGTTTGCTGATGCTTTGTGCCAGGTCTTTGTGTGTGCTGCTAGCTTTTCTTTGCACAGAGGAGCGAGTTAAAATGCCATCACCGTGCTGTAAATTGAAGGCAGGTTACTGTGTTGACATTTGTCTTATTCTGCTCCACTGGCAGTGTGTTGCGTTCAGCATTTTAAACTGTTTGGGTTTTGCTTTGTCTCCTGAATGCTGCTTGCTCAGTGAGCTTTGAATTCATTCCTTGTTTCAGGCCAGCAAAGGCAGATACGGCGCCCTGAGCTCCACTGTGTTCCCAGCATGTCATGAGGATTCTGTTGTGTCACTCATTGCCTTGCATTTCCCTGGGTCCTGACGATGTGCTTTGTTTTCCCTTCCTGCTCTGTGTGCACTGACTGAAGTTGGTGTGTTGCAGCCACAGCCGTGCCAGCACGATCTTTATTTCCTCTTCTACTCCTCGTTATGTCCTTGAGGTCTGGTACAAATTGAGTCCCATATGACTCATGGTGTGACTGACCGGTGTGGTTATCTGCTGCCATCATCAGCCACTGGTGTGGCCAAATTGTGCTTTAGAAGTTTTCCCAGCTTTGCCATGGGAACTCTGTGTACTCAGTGGGTTATTTTGGCCATTCAGGTCGCTTTCTCATGTTCTGGGGTGAGGTGCTGCTCCGTGCTTACTAAGATATGTTTGTTAATGGGCATTCAGCCTGCCACCAGGATCAGTAACAAGGCATCTGACCTCCTGAAACACCTTTCCTCTAGGAGTTGTAGTTATAAGCGTGCAGAACGTTTGCAGCTGCAGGTTCTCTCCTTCATAAGTCTTCATTGGTGTAGAAAGCGCTGCTCTTCTGCTTTGGGTTTGTGACTGCTGTTCTGCTAGACAGAAGGAGAAACAAGGCTGGGGGTGTTTGAGGTGAAGTATTTGTGTGGCTTTTTGGACTGCTCACTTTATAGAATCACTGGGAGTCGTTCAGGTTGGAAAAGATCACTAAGATCACCCGGTGCAACCATCAACCAGCCCGTGGTGTCCACAAACTAGTGGGAATATAGCTGGAATCGTAGGTTAGATGTGTATCAGAAGGCTGTGCCACTTGTGTGCACGTGTGCCATCTTCCTGCAGACCTTTTTTGCTCTCCTTAGAGCATCTCCCCCCGATGCATTTGATGAAATAGTGCTGTTGCTAATTGCGTTTGGATAAACTTCAGCTCTCCTGAAACTCCTCAAGAATTAAGAGAAGCAGCAGATGTCTGTGGCTACTCATACAGGTTTATGAAAGCTTCTTAAGTTGCTCTTGAGCTTTCTGCCTTTTTTTCCCCCCCATGTGCAGCCTTAATGAAATAGAGGAGACTCTCATTTCTGCTTAAACCCCTTTCAGGCTGCCTCATGCAACACGTAGCTGGTTCTCTTCCCAACCCACTGCTGCCTTTTGAGGGTTGTCTTTGCCAGGCAGTTTGTCCCCTTCCTCTTCTTGGCTCTTAAACCCACTAGCCAGCTTCCTTTGGGTTTCCTCATACCAGCAGAGGCTTTAAAATCCTACCTCTCCGTATGTTTTGTTAGGAGGGGAAAGGCTGCCCAACAGGGCTGCTTAGAGATTGGCCCCGTTCTCTGATGGTGCTGCATGAAGCAGAAGTTTCTCTGTCCTGCTGCCCCCAGGCCGCTGATACATGCTGTTTGTGATGATAACCAGTGTCATCAGGAGACAGATCTGGTGAGGCTGAGATTAGGAGGCTGCAGACACTGCCTGCTCTGCGTTCTGCTCCTGGAGGCAGTTGTCAGCCGACAAGTGGAAGTTCCCAATGGAGGTATTGCTGAATTTTGCAGTGATGTTATCAGAATCTTTCACACGTCCCAAACTGCAGTGTGGTTTATGCATTCCTAATGCCTTAGTCACAGGCAGAGCCACCAACCTCCATCTCTAATGCTACACCAGGCTGCCCAGGGCCCCATCCAACCTGGCCTTGAACACCTCCAGGGATGGACGGGGCATCACAGCCTCTCTGGGCAGCTGTTCCAGCACCTCACCTCCAGCACGAACCTTTCTGACATGAACCATTAAATTTACTAGAACAAGAACTTCAAAATGCATTGGCATTTTTGTTTCTCCACAGCTCCGTGCCCTCTGCCAGTACCTGGAATGTCCATGCTGTCCTCTAGCTCTGTCTGTCTGTCCTGGAATTTCTTGCTGGCTTTTATTTATCAAGGACTTCTTTTCCACCCCACCACCCCCGAAAAGTTTAGCAAATGCCCTGTAGTTGAGTTGTGAAGCTTCAAAGGAAGATAAACCGAAATCAACTGGAACCTCTGAACAAATGCCCATGCCCTAACTCAATATTCTGGTATAGCTAATCCAGTGTATGTATTATAGCTTATAAGGGTGGGCTTTTGGGTGTTCTCAGCCTGTAGCACTGCTTGGCATTATTATTAAGGGCCTTATTATTCTAGCTACTATTATTATTAAGGGCCTTATCTTCCTGCTGTTTCAAACCCCTGGGGAGAAAACCTGGAAGTCACATCCCCTGAAAAGGATGCTGGTGCTGAAGGGGCTGGTTAGACATTCAAAGCGTTAAAGGCCGCCGTACAAAGGATATTTCCATCTAAATGACCTCTGAGACACAGCAGGTAATTACTTCAGAGTGCTGCAGAGGAGCAGCCTGGTGCTGGAGCTGCTCTTCCTGACCCCAGCAGGGTGAGGCAGGGTTTTCTTCCTTGCCACAGGGTTGCTTTGGAGACAGCAGGCTGTAAAACGTGGCTTACAGGAGGCCAGCAGAAAAGGAAGCCGCTGTGGTGTTAGGGTTTGCTGCTTCTTCCTGCTTTGTTGCTCCCACAACAGAAGAGCAGAGCCTTCAGGAGCGTTGTGCTTCCAACAGAACTGGAATTGGAGGCTTGAAGCCCAATGCTGA